TTTATCCCCCTGGAAAAATGCAACATCTTTAATAAACCCCAGTACAAAGTGAAGACACTTATTTCAGAATATCATGACAAAGACTGCAAAACAGAAAACACGGAAGACCTTAAGACAGGAGCGAACAACAAATTTATTCTCAGAATTCCCAGGGGGAATAAAAAGTTCTCATTGATAGCAGGATAATTACAAAATCTTGGGTTTTCAACTGCATGCTCCACATTACAAAATCAAAAATATGTCAATGTCCTGAGTAATACCAAGCACAAAAGAGATTGTTTATAAACCTTTTCAAATGTCCCTATTGTGATATGTAATTATAGGTTGCTGACCTATAAATGGTTGATGAAACTGAACATATATATTTTTTTTTTTCTAAGTAAGGCAGCTATAGCATTGTAAAACTGTACCTTACAGGGCTTCCCTGGTGGTCCAATGGTTGAGAATCCGCCTGCCAATGCAGGGGACACGGGTTTGATCCCTGCTCCGAGAAGATCCCACATGCCATAGAGTCACAACTACGGAGCCTGCACTCCAGAGCCTGAGAGAAGCAACGACTGAGCCCATGCACCGCAACTACCGAAGCCCCTGTGCTCTCCAACAAGAAAAGCCACCCCAGTAAGAAGCCCACACAATGCAACGAGAGAGGAGCCCCCTGCTCTCTGCAACTAAAGGAAGCCCATGAGCAACAATGAAGACCCAGCCTGGCCAAAAATAAATAAATAAATCTTTTAAAACAAATAAGTGCCCCTTATAAATATTGCCCTGCCCCTAACCCAACAGAGGGTTTTTTGGCCGTGCTGTGATTTTTTGCCCATTATTTTAAGACTGCCTCACCTCCATTAGAAAACTATTTACCTACTATCAAATAATATGCCAACTACATCCCAGTTTATGCCCCGTTAATGACCAGTATCTTGTAACAATAATGCCCGGCACACAACAGTTACCCCCACTAACAAGCGGGGCCCCGCTCTTGTTAGGGAAATGCTACAGACCTCATTCCTTGACCCACCGCTCCTGGATGTGTCACTAAAACAACATATGCTTCTCTGGAAGCATTGCTTTAAACATTACATGAGCAGAGAAAAACATATCCTTGGGCATCAAAACTCCCTCAGTCCCCTTTGTAAAGGAATTATAACTTCTGAATAAGCAAGTCAAAAGCAGAAAATCAGAATTAGGGCAACCAAAGTCATCCAAACCAACATGATCACCGCAGTTGCTTTCTCTTTTTCTATGAACATATGTTTAATTACTGCAGACAAGACTAGAGTCCACAGTAGCACCCTCTCGCCCTCAGGAAGTGGGAATGTTTAGCCAAGCAGTTCAAACAGGAATATCAAATATCCATCCATAAAAGCTGCAGTCTGGAATATGCACATTTCTATCCTCTCTGTGCAAGCAACATGGCTCTTTGATTGATTATAAGATTCTGATCATCTGAAAAGCATTCCAAACAGCTTTGTCATATCAACTGTCGACAACTCATTAGCACAAAATAACAGAAGCCTGGAAATAACTCAATCAGTAGAGCAAGTACAATATAGATGGACCAGAATAAAATTAAATTGATAAAGATCTTCTATGTTATTATATAGAAGGGAATTAAAACTTATCAAATATATTTTCATTAAAAAAAAAAAACAATTCTAGGAAATCTTGCCATGGTCATATTATTAATTTTCTCTAACAAAAACTGTATGTTCTTCTGACAATTTACTATATTTATATACCTTTTAAAAAACTACACGGGGAGTTCTTATTTCAGTCTAGCTTTCCCAAATAGAGCAACCAAATGCTACACATTTCATCAATAACTTGAAGAAGATACACAGAACATGATATAAAAGAGCTGTTCTCTTTTTATCCTGTCTGTATGAAAATTATGCAATTTGAAGTGTCCCTGGAAAAGAAGAAAAGGTACCATAAAATGTCAAAAATAAATAAATGAACAATATCGCATCTATTGAACACAAATATATCAGCTTTACCAAAATTATTGGTTTATTTTTTAAGTTTTAAGTTCCAACCAGAAGCACCTACAGTGTTTGGGGACAGGCAACAGCACAATAAGCTCACATGTTCTCCATTCATCTGTCAGAGGCGATCAGCACGTGTCTATTAAAGGAATTCCCTCAAAACTGGCAGAGGCTTTGATTAAAACAATTAAAAATAGGATTAAAAAATACAACCTGTAATGCCAAAAAGAAGCTTCTAACTTTAAATGCAAGCCAAAGGCATCACAGAGGACCAACAAGTTAACATCCTGAGGAAGAATGTTTACTCAACAAATATTTACTGAGTATCTTCAGAGTGCCAGGAGTGTGGGGCACCCTCCCCGTAAGAAGCTCGCAGACCAGTGGGAAGACAAACAAGGACGAATCTAGAGTCCAGTGAGGTCCAGTGTTACAGGAAACCTGCCTTACACACAGGACTGAGAAATACCCCCGCCCCTCGCCACCAACCCAGCTCATGAAAGAAATGGCGTTATTTTAAAACAAATGGCATTGGAATGATGATGGATAAAGGGCCAATCCTCTCTCTTCCAGAAATGCCAGGCGCAGCGGTTGACTGGGGGAGGGCCGCTAACATGACCTCTCATTCATAGAGACCCCTGGGAGGTTATGGGCGCATCAGTAACCTTCACAGTCACTCCCCTGCAGTTAATCAGGCATATCTGAAAGCCTGCACATCTTGAAAAGCACATCATTAATAAATACCTAGCAATGGAACAGCTATGCTTGACCTTATGATGATGGAATTTTTAAATGCAACTTTACTTAAGAAAAACAGATACAGTTACAGTTCATTTACTCAGCTCCCATAAATACCTGGAAACTATTTAAGAATTTGAAAGGTAACAAAATAAAAATAAAGGTCAGAATCTGTTCCCTAAAGCAATATACAGTAGGAAGGTTGAAACTCAAAAATCTGAGAACTACCTTTATTTTAGAGATGATTCTAATAAGCAGACTAGAAAAGAAGGGAAGAGTGGTTACAGATACAGCACTTGTAAGGAACCATCACAACTGACAGGAGCAAGAATTCAAAGAGACAGAAAGAAACGGGGACATAAAATGCACAGTTTGAAGCCCTCTGCACAGAGTTGATTTTATAAAGTAGAACTTAAAACAGAACCATGGTCTCTTTCTTGGCCTATCCCCATTCCTATTTAACTGGTGAATTCCTTGTAGGTAACTTTAAACAGTCCTACACAGGTTCATCCGTACTTGTAACATTTTTTTTTTTCTTCACAGGACACAATAATGGAGGACAGGGATGATGAAGGAGCATTGAATTCAGAGGAATAGGGTATGTTTGCCATTTCAATTTTCTTACTCTTTAAAGAAGTTGTTTGTGTTTTGTTTGTTAACATATACTTAAAGCCCTTTAATGTACCATTCTGGGAAGATGAGCATCTTGAAAAAATACAGGGAAGAAAAATGCTGTTACAATGGTAAGTAATTAAAATGCTGCTCATGGCCATGGTACAGGAGTTTTATATCTCAAGATACATAACAGCTGAGAGTGGCCTGCTCACTCCTGTGGAGAAGATCATGATGAACACATTTCAGGTGTCTGATATAGGAGAAGTTTTGTGTGCTGGCATTGGCAGACTGCGCTGGCTCGGCCCACAGTCAACAGGAGTTCAGATCTTTAGGTCTGTGCCCCTGCTCTAGCCCAAACATTTCCGAAAGGCAGTCAGGAGAATATTCATTTCCAGGTGTCCCCGTTTTGTTCCTGAGCTCCTTATACTGATGTCTGGCTTAGAAGCAAGGGACCCCTCTAAGAGAGTTGTTAGGCTCTGTCAGCAACTTTCCTCCCCAATGTTACCTCTCTTTGTGGGGAACAGTAATTGCAAACAGTGTAGCTATGTTAGCTCAGCCTCCTTCTTCAGGATGGACAGATAAAGCCTCTAAAACAGAGTTGAAAACCTGAACCTAGGAGTCCTGCATACCACTAAATTGTGATGTTCGTGGGTAAAACTTGCAAGAGATACATTTTAAACAGCTAGAAGCCAATGTGACTCATAGGTTATAGTAATGAGTTTCAGGTAATAGCAATTTTGTAGGAAAAGTTAGTCTTGGGAGGACATTGATTGCTCTCTGCAGATGCTATCTCAGTTACCAGATTCAAAAGGTAACTCAGCGGATTAAATTTTTACCAAGCTGAGACCACTGTCTTGTCAATGACTTACAGGCAGGCAACATCATACAATTAAAAAAATTTACTCTATGTAACATGAATGAGTAGATACACATATGATATAGCTCTATGGTTATTTTACCTTATAACAAATTGCTTTCTTCTCTTCGAGTAATATCATTTATATGGTCCTAAACTGCTGGATAAAGCCAACACTGTAAAATTCATAACTAAACAAAAATAAAGGACCATCACAGATAAAGAAAATGTAGTTTACATCCATTCAATAAAATATTATTTGGCAACAAAAACAAATGAAGTACTGATTCAGGGTACCACATGGGTGGACCCTGAAAACATGATGCTAAATGAAGCCAGTCACAAAAGGCTATAGAATGTATGATTCCAATTATACAAAATGTCCAGGATAAGCAAATCCACAGCCAGTAGTACATGAGTGATTGCCAGGGGCTGGGGAGAATAGGGAATTGGGAGTGACTGCTAATGGGTATGGGGGTTCACTTAGGGTGGTGAAAATGTTCTAAAATTAGATAGCGGTAATTAGTGCACAGTTTTGGGGAATGTACTGAAAACCAACGAATTATACATTTTCAAAGGGCAAATGTTATGATATATGACTATCTCAATAAAACTGTTATTTCTTTTAAAGACTCAATAATTGATTAATGATGATCCAAGTAGAGTAATTCTAAATATAAGAGGACTAAATTTTCAAATACGTTCACTGGCAATTTGAATTTTATCAGAATGAGCTCATCTTACATTCTGGAATCTATCTGTGAAGACTGTAAAATGTTTCTCTTTCAGTACTCACTTTCAGAAACAAAAACTTTCTCTTACAAGAAAGATGAGTAACTCCAATTATAGGCAAATTCACACAGTGCTGCTCCTTTTAATGAAATACATTCTCTATCAGTCTGTCTAATTTATTAAGTGAACAAGTAGTTCCAAGGAAATCTTGGGTCACTCAAATATTTGGCAGTCACCAAAGAATGCAGGTAGCTACTTAATTCGCAATCAACTACAACATCAAAACCTAGATACACCTGTTGCTTTGCAATCAGTAGCAATTGTTAATCAAAGAAAACAGAAAATGTAAATATGAATACTGACCTTGTTTCTTTTAACCCTTCTTTCTGAATGACTTCCAATATCTGCTTTGCTGTCATTGGTGAGTTGGGGTGTTTTTCTAGTGCCTAAAAAATAAAGACAGACATAAGACTTCTAGATTACTGCATAGAAGCATACAAGATGAAAATGTGTGTGAATCATGCAAATTTTAAAGGGGAAGGGGTTATTATGCCAAATTAGGTTACATGATACATGTCAGGTGTGCAAGGGATAGGATTTAATTTTTTCCTGGACATTTATGGCAATTTCTGCAACATATAGGGGCCATCCTGCAAAAATGTCACAAAGGCATACACCACAAAAAAAAGTAATGTGAAACCTAAAAACACCTAGTTAGTAAATGTATATAATTTCCTTTATTTAAACTTGCTAACATTTTATGGTTAAAGTCATGTTTTCAGGCTGTTAAAATGTTTCCTAAATTTCTAAAACCTTGGAAACATGAGCCCGAATACCATCAACAGCAGAGAACAAAGCACTGGTCAGAAATAACCTCACTGGATTCATAGTTTGATCAACTTCTTCTGTATTAAAAAACAACAAAAACCCCTCGTGGCCAAAACGAAGAAAAAGCATACAGAAACCCAAGGATCCCATTACAGCGTGTCTTCCAGTTCAGCTCAGTTTCCTTTCATTTGCCTTTTCCAATTCATTTCAAGTAAATTCCTTCCTCTTACGATTCAGCCCATCTCAGCTTTATGAACTCAGTCCTATTTTCTTTCTCTCCCCATCTGTCCTACTTATTTTTGAGTGGAGGGGATGTTTTAAACAAAGTATGGGAAATAACATGCTGCTGCTAAGTCGCTTCAGTCGTGACTGACTCTGTGCGACCCCATAGACGGCAGCCCACCAGGCTCCCCCGTCCCTGGGATTCTCCAGGCAAGAACACTGGAGTGGGTTGCCATTTCCTTCTCCAATGCATGAAAGTGAAAAGTGAAAGTGAAGTTGCTCAGTTGTGTCCAACTCTTAGCGACCCCATGGACTGCAGCCTACGAGGCTCCTCCATCCATGGGATTTTCCAGGCAAGAGTACTGGAGTGGGTTGCCACTGCCTTCTCTGGAAATAACATGGGACACAGTTAATTATTTCCACAGGCATCAGACCATCAGCCCTGGAAATCAAGGCTTTTTATTTACCCCAGGATTGAACTACATGTAGCGAAAGCAGTAACAATGGTCCCCACGCTATTCACGAACAAGGGCTACGAGGACCACATCTGGTACAAGAAACCACATCTGGTACAAGTCTACACATATCTTCACAATGACTTCTTCCAAGGGTAGATGACACCTATTGCTCTGGCCAAAAAATTCATTTTTCTAGGACATCTTATGGAAAAACCCAAATGAACCTTTTGGTCAGCCCAATACTTAAATTTTCTGTACAGGAGTTTCTGCACAAGTCATGGCCCCATGCAACTTAATGATTCTAGAGTCCTAATTTATGATTACTATGATTATCAGACCAGAATTATCATAATAATTGAGAACTAATTGAGAATTTTTAAGGCAAATTTTAAATTGAAAAGGCTTCCAAATACATTTAAAAGAGCTCTGTGATCTCTTCTACTATCAATGGCTAAATTTCAAAAAGGTCACTGGCAAGGCTTCTGCTCCTTGGGGCTCTGCTCCCTGTAGCTATCTAATGAATTATACACAGCCTGCCCTTCCTCACCATTAAGGCCACTTTTCTGTTCTCACCTCTAGTTCCCAGAAAATGTCCCCGTTTTTCCCAGTCTGGTCAGTCCCTTAGTTGCAGATGACAATTCTTTAAAGAACATCAAAACATGCTACACTGGAAAGAGCGTAGCAACAAGTATGTCAACAGGAAAGAAGGAAAACTGTCCTCAGAGAGGAGACTATCAGGAGGGATGGACTGAAAACTATCAGGGGCGGGTGGGGGGAACATAGGCACAGCTGTACAGGGAAGAGGACTAAAGTGTAAAAACATTGGCTTAAAAAAGGCAAGAAGGACACTGCATGAAAGAGCTGAAAAGGGGGAAAGATTAGGTCACAAAGAAAGGCAGGAAAGGTACGGACACAAAAACAAAAAAGCCGACAGAATTTTTAAAATAAAAAGAACCGTCAGTATTGCAGAACACTTCATACTCATGAAAGGCGATGCTGTGGTCACATGGACTAAATAGAAGGTGGGCATCACCCCCAAGGACAGGCAATGCTGGGGACACCAATGGTCTCTCATAGAAGGTATGGGCGGAAGGTCAATAGACACACACATACACGAGGAAGCAAGCAAGGAAGAGGGAAACTAGAGGGGAGAGACACAGGATGGCAGAAAAGAGAGTGGGCAGAGGAGAAGGGAGAGAAAGGAGGTGTATTGAGCTGAACTGGGAATGTCCAAAAGGCAAACTGATTAAATCTAGACAGGGCGGAAGAGGAAACTCCAGTGTGCGGGGTAAGGTTTTCATGGAAAGTTGGGTGCACTCGAAGGTGGGGTTACTCACTGTGGAGGACTCCCTGTTTCTCTTCCTGAGTACAGGCCCCTCAGCACACCTTGGCAGCTCCTCCCAGCCAGGGAGAGGATTTGGATAGCCCTGTCCCCTCCTCTACGACATCACATCCTACTCTACAAAGGAAGTAAAAGTGCGAAGAATTACACCTCGAAGCGGATGAGAGGCAGGAAGGAAATGATGAAGCCACACAGAACACCAGAAGCCACCCTCAGTTCCTGCAAGACAGAGAAAGGGGACAGAGCAGGAGGGGGTCCTGGGTGTGAACAAGCTTCACTGAACTAGCTGTGGGAACATTCAGAGAATGAGAGAGAGAAAATTACTTTCACGGAACAATACCATGGATAGCACTGAAAAAACATGACACGCGGCAGAGACATGAATCAGACCAGCAGGCAGCCACACTCAAACACGACAGCGGAAAGGAGCCACAGTCAGAGGGAAACTACAGCCCCAAATGTCAGACTGAGGAAGCACCCACACACGCCAGGAATCAATGTCTTGGCTATGCAGTGTTTCCTAAGTCCTTAAAAACCACACTTCCTGGATTACCTTTCTTGACATATTCAAATACAACTAGCATTTGTAAATGAAGTGATATGTAACACTTAATCTGAGTTTAACATATTCTTCCAATTGTTTTCCACCTTGTACCTACCTCTTAGAAACAGGGGTCAAGGATACAATAGAGCAGTGAAGAGAGTGGGATTATATACAATTTTTAAGAGTATGTATCCTAGTAAGATTAGTAAGAGGGCCAATAAATATTTCAGATAATCAAAACAGGTTCAAACTGTCTTGGGCAATAACAATACAATTATGACAAAATATAGAGATTCCAATTTTAGAGTTCACCATGGATAATGATAATTTTAAAAGTCTTGTTTTCTGATTGAAAAAAAGCTGGAAAAATGCAAATTCATACCTGTATTATAGAAAACAAAATGGCACTAGTAAGTTTATGACCAAAAATAATTTCCCAAAGAATACACTGAATGTAATGTTCTTAGATTATTAAGTCAAAGGATATGAGCTCTGTCATGTCTCTTGATACACTGCCAACTGTTTTAAAAATATTTTAACAATTTATACTCTCACCAAGCAGAACTGAACCTGCCCCTCTCCACAACTTTGCCAGGATTAAACATTATCTTTTTCACAATATTCGCCAACTCGGTAGGTCAAATAAGTTGTAATTCATTGTTACTCTAATTATACTTTTGTAAATACTAATGAGAACAAAGTTTTTTTTCAAATGAATACCATATGGGATATCTCTGTCTTTCTTACTAATGTGTAAAAAGCTATTTATATATTAAAATAATATTCATTATTGGGCATGTTAATAACAGATTTGTATTCTTTATGTTACTTATTTTTGGATATTTATGAAGACACATAAAGTATTCTATTTTCACATAACTACTTATGTGACTTTTCCATTGTGGCTTTACCTGCTTTTATGTTTAGACATTTCTTTTACCCAGAGAGTAGGTTAATTATCTACAAATATTTCTTCTATTTTATGCTTTCATTTTTAATCCCATCAATCACTTCAGAATACATCTGTTTGCAGCCTTGTGAAGAATTAACTTAAGCCCCCACCTACTGTTAATATAGGTCAAGATTCCCCAACACAATTTGTTTCATAAGCCAGTTTATGGTTTATGGTTAGTGAGGCATCTTCTGCCATATATTACAATTAGAGCAATGGAAACACTTCTGGATGTGAAAACAACATAAAAATGTGGAAACCCAATATAAAAGGCACAGATGGTCATGAATCTGCCTGCAATGTAGGAGACTTGGGTTCGATCCCTAGGTAGGGAGGATTCCCCTAGAGAAGGGAATGGCCACCCATCCCAGTGGCTACCCATTCTTGCCTGAAGAATCCCGCGGACAAGGAGCCTGGTGAACTCAGTTCACGTGTTCGCAGGAGTCAGACAAGCCTGGAGGAGCTTTGCAGGCAAAGCAGAGCTATTGCCTGGGTAGTGATGAGTGCTCAGAACCCCAGCACTTACTCCCTTTAATGGCCAAAGGCACTTCTGGGAATTTTCAGAGTCTCTGAAATGAACTGCAAACCACTGTCTCTGAGGCTCACCCAGAGGCCCTGCTATGTTCCCCCATGAAGTGAAGTGAAAGTTGCTCAGTCGTGTCTGACTCTTTGTGACCCCAAGGACTGTAGAGTCCATGGAGTTGCTCTCCAGGCCAGACCGAAGAGAATCCAGGTCAAACCCAGTTCTCCCGAATTGCAGGCAGATTCTTTATCAGCTGAGCCACAAGGGAAGCCCAAGAAGACTGGATTGGGTGGCCTATCCCTTCTTCAGGGGATCTTCCTGACCCAGGAATCGAACTGGGTCTGTTGCATTGCAGGCAGATTCTTTACCAGCTGAGCTCTCAGGGAAGCCCCTATGGTCCATGACTTTCAGTCAATGCCTGTGCCAACACCACCCTCTTTAAACTGCTATAACATCACAGTACACTTCACTCTCTGGATAGGACACAGCTCTCATTATTCCTTCTTAAATTTTTCATTGCTCACTTCTTTATATTTCTAAATGAAACTTAGATTGGAATTAAATGAGACATTCTAAT